ATTTATGAATGAGATATGACAAGGATAAGATGTCGTATTGTAATGACGTTCTGTTAATACATTTATGAATTAGATATGACGAAAATGAGATGTCGTATTGTAAAAACGTTTTAGTTAATACATTTATGAATGAGAAATGACAAGGATAAGATGTCGTATTGTAATGACGTTCTGTTAGTACATTTATAAATTAGATATGACGAAAATGAGATGTCGTATTGTAAAAACGTCTTAGTTAATACATTTATGAATGAGAAATGACAAGGATACGATGTCGTATTGTAATGACATTCTGTTAAGACATTTATGAATGAGATATGACGAAAATGAGATGTCGTATTGTAAAAACGTTTTAGTTAATAAATTTATGAATGAGAAGTGACAAGGATAAGATGTCGTATTGTAATGACGTTCTGTTAATACATTTATGAATGAGATATGACGAAAATGAGATGTCGTGTTGTAAAAACGTTTTATGAATGAGATATTTAGAGGTTGTGTCACTATCGTGGCATATATGCCCGAGGGTCTCAGTGATATATGGCCCGACCTTGGGAGGGACTTTGATCTCTGAGAACCGAGGGCATATGTGCCACGATAGTGACAAAAACGATTTATAACATACCTATGCTGATGTAGACTGGTCAGAGAGTACCGTTTTCTTATAGAATTGACAAACAAATGGTTTGAGAATGATTGAAATGAGTTTAGAAAAATTGCTCGCGCAGTTTTATCTTCGATTGATTGGTTATGACGTCAGCGCATTGACCAATCAGAAAGTTAGCGGGCGCGGGCTTTTCAAAACTTATATTGGCCCGCTGTCTTGTGTACACTTTGCACTATACATCATCATAGGAATGTTATAAGACGAGGATATGATGTTGTATTGTAATAACGTTCTAGTTAAATACATTTATGAATGAGGTGTGACAAGGATAAGATGTTGTATTGTAAAACTTTTCTAGTTAAATACATTTATGAATGAGGTGTGACAAGGATAAAATTTTGTACTGTAAAAACGTTCTAGTTAAATACATTTATGAATGAGATATGACCAAGATACGTTGTCGAATTGTAAAAACGTTCTAGTTCATACATTTATGAATGAGATTTAACGAGGATAAGATGTCGTATCGTAATAACATTCCAGTTTAATACATCTGTGAATGAGATATAGCGAGTATAAGATGTCGTATTGAAATAGCGTTCTAGATAAATGAGATATGACAACGATAACATGTCGTATTGTAGAAACGTTCTAGTTATATGATTTATGAATACGATTTGACAAGGATACGATGTCGTGTTGAGTGAAATTAAAGGCAAGTTTCAGCGATTGAAATAGAGAAACAATTGGCACGTCTTCATCTCTAAGACTCTGGAAGATTTGAAATAACAGGAACAGAAACAAACTGCTTCATCCGGACTGACATATAGGCTTTATTAGTGGATATCTAAAATAGATCTATACCAGTTGTTAGTTCTTATCGAAACTATATTTTGAAAATGACATATTCAATTTGACAGAAGATTATTTAATACTTGAATTCAAGAATTCAAATAAGACCGATCGAGATCGGCTAGTCGACATTTGTAAATTGAAGGAATAGTTCCAATATGGTACCACACAAACACATTTTAGCTTTTTACAAAACCAGATTGATTAATTTGAAAAATGTATATTCAGCTATATAGGATTGCACTCCCATCCTTTATATTATTTACTTACCTTATCGTAAACGTACATCGTGGATAATTATTAATAGGTGTTAATAGATGTTCTTATTTCCATTAGGAAATTGATATTCAACCTAACAAGGATCATCAACAGTCAGTCGTAATTTCCCATACTTGTTTTTCTGGCCTAACACCCTCTCCATAAGGTTGATAACACAGGTTCCCATCGAGTAGCTCATCAGGATTGAATCTCACTTTTTTCAAATCAATTAAAACGTACGTGGTCCAAAAGAGGACTTCCCGTTGTCAAATTTTTGGAGGGGAGTGTCGTCATCAACTAAATGCTTCAAATCGCAAGGTGCAAATGAAACAAAATGTCCCAATTTGTCGAACGATTATTATATGATTTCCTAACAGTTGATTAAGACTTCATCAATAGACTTTGATGCGAGTTAAAATAATCCTGATTTACGTCATTAAATATTCAAAATTCAGTCAAAGTGATGTCATATTTGAAATCTACATGTAAAAGTACATCTAGCAAATTGGTTTCGAAAATTGTTAATCAACTTTGAAAATTTTTCTTTTTGAAAATGCGACTTCTAGTTCGATTCCCCATAGACTCCATGTTATAAAATCACAAAAATCAAAATAACTTTTCTTGTATTGGACAGATAACATTTTCCTTTACTGGACATATTAAAATTTGCATAACTATAAAATAGATAAGGGTGATATGAAAATTGAACCACTTAAACAGATGAATATTTAAGTCAAATGGAATTTTCTACTACACCCACCATGCTATCTGACCCGAACGAGCCACCTGGTGATGAAACTGGTAACTACCTACTCGCATCTAAGCTATCTAGAATCTGCTTCAACTAGGATTTTGCCTGATCAATTTGTTGATCAATATGGAAGACCCCATTGAGCATTGGCAATTCAACCATGGGCTTTCAAGAGATTCAACTCATGAAATAAACTGATCTTTGTCGATGACTATAAAGGTATCATCAAATGTATGATGATCATATGAATGAGGGTGATGATCCTCATACATGTACTAAATGTAAACCGGATTTTGAAGTAGCCTCTGTAAAGAAAAACGGTGCATTGTCCTTTATCAGTCATTACATTTTCAAAATTTTGTATAATATTACTAAACTCTTGGAGGCACATGGCATACATATTGTGAATAACTGGTATATTGGTGTATTCCTTTAAATGGACTAACAATTTAACTTCATGTCTCAGAAGATCCCCCCCTTCTTGAGCACATTGTTGGAGGATTTCTCAAATATGACGTCAATTTATGATAAAAAGTCAAACTCACGATTTTTTGGAGTTGTTTTATTCAATCCTTTCTAACTTTTTATCATATTTACGAAATTCTTTGAAATTTTCTCCATTTGGTTAAAATATTCCTACATTATAGCTCTGAAAGTTTGGTATAATAAAAAAGAAAAGTAAAAAAGATATGATTGGTAAAGGACAATGCAAGTGAAATCATAATCATCCACAAAGTAAATAATTATCACGTAAAGTGTTATTGCATTTCACTTATAAAAGTCATGTTATCAAAGGTTCTACGGTGAAGGGGTGAATTCTGGGGGTGGGAGATAATCCCTCAAAAATGAACGTTGTACCACTCTGCGAAACCGCTTATTAGTTGAGAGTCCTGGCTGGCCCAAGAGTATAATATTCAAATGAGGGTTTGGGGGAAAGCATTATAAGACAGTGTCGAAGTATCTCTTTATGCTTTGTCAGTCTTTAAATCAATAATTCCCTTGGCTGTGAATTGATCCTCCATCAACCACACTTAGACAACTAGCTATCATTCCATATTGACTATAAATAGAAATTAAAATTGAATTCTGTTAATAAGTAACATTGTGATGGGTTTAATGAAAGAGGTCATAAAACTATAGATAAAAAATGACATACAAATTCAAATTCTTAGTTCGAATTCTTAGTTTAGTTACGTGTCGGGAATCAAGCTCTCCATATATGACCCTTTTAAGCCATCAATCAAACATATACTACGAGTAGCATTTGACAAATAGCTGGGATACTAAACCGGGTGATTTTATACCAAGGTTGTTCATTAATCCATTATCTCATGGGCCTAAGACATTTGATTAAACACTATACAATACGATACCCTGAGGCACAGATAGTAACAAAGCTCTGATTAGGGTAAACTATTCAAAGTTTTCATTTTGCACGTGCATTTTGATACAATCTTCAATGACCCAAAATGTAGCCGCTGTGGAATTCTATGGTTGTTTGAAAACAGTTATTTATGAAGACATAAATTCTGTGACTGTTATTCAGATCGAATAGCTCAATTTCAATCGACCTAATTTGAGTGGGTAATCTTTACGAGGTTAAGGATTTAATTTTATGAATGAGTGTTGATGAAATTCTCTCTCAAAATAGACTATTGAAAAGGGTAACAGAATGAGAACCTAGACACATTCTGGCGATATGCATCAAGTTAGATATATTGGAACCACTGCAACTAATAGGGCCACAACTTAAATTCGATTTCGGTTGATTTGAGTCTTAAAGCTGCTTGCAATCTATGACGAATCCAGTATTAAAACGAATTGACGCAGCGTTTCCATTAAGACCAGACCCAGCAGCAATATGTCCAATTACCACTTATTTCAGCTTATTCTTCGCAATTACTTTGACCATAACTTAGTAATAGCTAATGATAGACTATACATATACTTTAGGAGTACCGATTTATGTTAATTTATATCAGAAAAAGCATTAATTCGCCTCATTTTATATACATTATTCTGAGTTTAAAATGACGGAACCATTGCAGAACTGATAAAATATCTAAAACATATTTGCCTCATGCTGATGAACGAGTACAGTTGTGGCCTGTGGCAGATGCCAAACATTAACGCAGAACAATCGACAGGTTAAGACGAAATATATTCGAAACAGCCGTCAATATTCTATTGATCCGAAATTAACACTGAATCAATCAGTGTTTTAATTGTATTATCTGCAAATCTGGCCATGCAAATTCATTTAATAGAGAGAGATTGTAAAAGAATTAGGAGTTGTACCCGTCTAATGTTGGTAAATATCAATATCTCTATAAAAGCGGTTGCAATTGCAATGTGCAAGTCCAAAACCATTTAATGAATTCGTTCAATCGTATTATATTCAATCATATATTTCTAGGAACATCATAATGAAACACCCGAATTGTATCATGTGCTGCACATTATATTTATATATCTTTTCCTTCAATCTTTGTTTACTAGTGTACAGTATGTATTTATCAATGAATAAGTTACCTTGTACGATCATCAGAAGCACAGCTAAAACAGCATTTGACCTCATCTCGTATTTGCACTACTTTGGGTATAATCCACCTAAAACGAATACAAAACCATAAACAAATCAAAATGTTGAACAATAGAATAAAGTATATTATCACATTCGATCTTCCAAATGCTCCTGTTATTTAGTTTGTTTGATCAATCGGGATAAGGACCATGGTTTTAATCAAAGTCAAAATGGTCCAAATGTCATTTGTTTTACCTTCTCTGAGACGTGTTGATGCCTAGTCGAGTAAGAAGTTAATTAAATCAATGACATTCTAATAAAGTTTCAACTCAGCCAAGAATAAGAAACATAGGCAGGAGAATTTCCACAGGCAGTCGATTGCAGCATTGGGCGTTCAATAAGTTCTAGGTTTATTCTAAAATAAATTATTGTTTTATTTTTTACTCGTTACACATTTTAGCCTCATGTTAATTGTGCTGAATATATGATATATGACAGTTAGAATTACTATTTTTCTTGATGAAAGGAAAATTAATATGGTAAAGCGGGTAAGAGACTTATACATATTATATAAATGGGATGATTCTATAAGATACAATAGTAGTACCTCGTGTACTGGGCTCACCTGGGGTTTTGATACAAGTGAATGATGGGTAAAATACCCGACAATGAAAAGTGCTGTCGATTTTTTAAAAAGTTATTTCATAGAAGCACCTTTACAGTGACATGTTTTTTTTACAAAGCAGGACACCTTAATTATTTATAAAACTACTAAATGGTCTAAAAGTGAATTTTCCGTCTAGTTTCAAAATGACCGCCGTTTTAGTCAAGTTTTGGACTGAACGAACTTATGCCAATCCCCGGGGATAGTCATAAAATGCTACTTATTTATTACATCTTTTACATTAAAATTAATCCATTAAAATGGAAATCATATCGCCAGAGGCTTTAAAACGTGCCACTATAATTGACAAACAGACTTGACAGACTGATAGACGGACAGACGGACAAATGAACGATTGCAAAACACGTGGCATTCCAGAAGCAGGATTTAAGACGTAGCCACCTTTTTATAGCGCAACCATGAATAGTGACATTAAAGTCAAAGTTACAATAGGATTGCATCAAAAACCTGTCGAAGTTTGGATCTAAATTTTGTTACCTAAATACAAGAGTTCGGATGACAAATGCAATATAAATCGCCAAACAGAAAATACTATTAAGTAATCCAAAAGGGAGACTTCCGGTTAACAAACTTATGGCCGTTGTTAGGCCATGAGGAGTTCGGCATTTGTAAGGCCATGAGGAGTTCGGCATTTGTAAGGCCATGAGGAGTTCGGCATTTGTAAGAACCACACCACAAAACAATCAGGGACAAGATGATATTCAAGAGGGGGAAAAATATACACGAACGGAAAACGACTGGCCTGAACGTTATTCTATTTAAAATATGCATATGCATCATTAAATATCATATTACTCGTAAAATCGATGACGCTTCGTGTCAATCTGTAAAATGTTAAGATAGACGTGTAAATGGAAGAATGAGAAAAATGATTAATGATCTCTGAGTGCAGCTGCCAGATGTTTGTTATATACCAGAAAATGAAATAACACGATCATCACATTTAAAAGCATAATATAAAAAGAGAATTACTTTAGTGGTTGTCAGCTTAACTCTATGTGTTGGCAACACTTCTAATTGTATAGAAAGAATTCGAAATTCAAACAAATTGATAACTTCATCAAAATTAGGAAGAATCAAATGAGATCGAACTTACGATTCGACAAACTCTGATTACGCATTGCATTGATGTAACTTATGATTAATACACATCTTCAGGCGTTTAATACTTTATTTGAATTATCACATCGATAATTCTTTATATTTGCAATTGTTTGAACCTTTTTAATTCGATTAAAGGAGTAACAGTATACTAAAAATGTGACTAAGTAGTGATAGTGAATTTACCTATTGTCTCACATTTGTGGGGTTTTAAAATACACTCCCCTCCATAAGTTTGGCAACCTTTTTCCCCCATTGAACTACGTGTTAAAGCCTCTTTACCTTTGAATTTTTATTTACTTAACCTGCGATGAAAATACTTATAGTATAGATGAAAACGTAATTTGACTTTAATTCCAATACCTCCAAATTTTCTCAATTTTTTTCCTCAATTACAATAGGTCGAAAATTGATGATGAATTTGATGAATTTTTGAAAATCGACATTCCCATGTTAACCAATGGGAAATGGTAGGTTTGCCGCAAGTCATATGACAGAATATCCATCCATCCGAGTCCTTGCAAAAAATACGAGTTAGGCAGGTAATTGAATTTGCGAACTTTATTTAATAAAAAATTGATATGATTCTTCAGGTTCAACAAAGTTATGGGGCTTTAAAGTCAAAATTGTTTTTCAAAAAGCCTCTCCCATTGAAATAACACAGGAGGCGAAAAATAATTTTCAAAAATGACTTTGAAGCGCTGTAACTTTAATATTCATCAAATAAACTAAACACTTAGTGTTCAAAAAAGTTAGATAATTCAATTTTCTATATGAAAATATTTTTTGCTGAATCTTTTACTGAAAAGATATCCTGATTTCTGATTTGCCCTGAACCCTCCATTTCCCATTGGATTACATGAGAATGACGATTTTCAAAAATTCATCAAATTTATCATCAATTTTCGACCTATTGTAATTGAGGAAAAAAATTGAGAAAATTTGGAGGTATTGGAAATAAAGTCAAGTTACGTTTCCATCAATATCATAAGTTATTTCATCTCCGGTTAAGTAAATAAAAATTCAAACGTAAAGAGGATTTAACACGTAGTTCAATGGAGAAAAAAGGTTGCCAAACTTATGGAGGGGAGTGTAGCTTTAAAATGAAAATAAAGAAAGGGACAATCATTTTCAAATTACCGTCACAGTAGCCACATTTCAATATTACATCAAAATAGGAGGAAATGTTTTTATTTCATTAGTTATGTATTATGAGAGTATAGTCTACCATAAGTCTACCATACATCAATGTAGGAGGAAATACTACCATAAGTAATAACGTATTATGAGAAGATAGTCTACCATAACTAATGCATAAATTATTCCTCAAATTATGAACTATAATATATTCATTATTACCTAATAATGTTTAAGTACTTTAAATGTGATTTCCGGTGTTTGCTCCTACATCAATGATGATAAAGTAAATTGTTTTAGCGACCACTTTGAACAAAATTAGGCTAATTGTAACACTCATTTTAATTGTTAAACATCACAGACCCAAATGTTGCATCAAAACGCGTCCGAACATAAAAATGGGAACAGCAGCATTAAAATAGCTGTATTACTTTCCTTTAAATATGAATTTTAAAGTAGATTGCCTTAAAATGAATGGGTCATCTGTTTCCATATATGGCACATAGACTATAACTAGGAAATATATGAAGCATAAGAACAACATACACTCGTAGAGTGAATTGTGATACAAACCCATGTCCAAATTACTTACTTACTTGAAGTTGTCGAAACAGGATTGTTTCTTATCGTTATTATTCCAATAGCGTTCTCCAATCTTAACTTCCAATCAGCCATGCAGCTTTTATTTTTTGTTAATCATGCTACACAATTAACATTCCCCGCCTATTAATTCACTTTAGAATCTAATAAGTTTCTCCGTTTCAACGACATTGACATTCCTCTTCGGACGTTGCATCGTTAGGTTTATCGTATGCACTTTTGAAGTTTGTTTTATTAGCGACAATTAATCAACTGGGTGGAATATTATCTTCCCGTTTATTTTTTCTCAGAATTATTCCTATGAATAATTAGGTGTTTTTGTTCGCCTGCCCCTCTAAACGATTGTGTATTCCAGATTTTCCCGGGAAACTCGCATATTATTTCAGAACTTTAAAAATCAGTGTTACATAAGATTAGTGGCAATGAAGGCTGGAAATAACTTCAAGTATAAAGCCTCTTCTGTTGTCTGGGAATCCATCACATCGCGGGTTATTCATAAAATCTGTTACTTTTATCAATACAAGCTCGTTATCGATGGGCTGTTCCACAGCTGGACGTATATCCCCAGGAATATCTGTATCCTATTTTAAAATTCGTATGGCGTGATAATCCGATTCAATCTTACTGAAAATGAAGTATTTGAGCTCAGACTTATCAGAAAGGGTAAAACCAGGAAAACAAGTTACATATATTGAGGTTAACCATTCAATATTGCGAATTGAGTTCAGAAATTAGAAATACCGTCCAATACTATTATTTAATAGGAGTGCATTAGAAAAGGGATTGCATAACACTCTGGGTGACTGATGAGAAAATATTCCAAATATCACATGAAGAGGTAAGGTATCCCACAATTCAAAGTCAGCACGTGATCTATTTTAACGTAACATTTTGGATTGGATCATATCTCTATGCTCGACAGCGGTGTATTGATAATACCATCATCCGTGTTCGGTAATGGCATTAGCTAATCATATCAATTAAGAGAATACTGAATACGTACATTTAATTTGAAGACATACACAAAATAGCTTCAATATGGTCACCAGTCTATTAAAGGTTCAGTCAATTATAAACCAATCGAGGACATTGTGCCAGATCGGTGGACTGTCAATGTGATAGTCGAAGACAGGTTGGACAGACACGTAACAGACCCTGCCATTGTGCCAGATCGGTGGACTGTCAATGTGATAGTCGAAGACAGGTTGGACAGACACGTAACAGACCCTGCCATTGTGCCAGATCGGTGGACTGTCAATGTGATAGTCGAAGACAGGTTGGACAGACACGTAACAGACCCTGCCATTGTGCCAGATCGGTGGACTGTCAATGTGATAGTCGAAGACAGGTTGGACAGACACGTAACAGACCCTGCCATTGTGCCAGATCGGTGGACTGTCAATGTGATAGTCGAAGACAGGTTGGACAGACACGTAACAGACCCTGCCATTGTGCCAGATCGGTGGACTGTCAATGTGATAGTCGAAGACAGGTTGGACAGACACGTAACAGACCCTGCCATTGTGCCAGATCGGTGGACTGTCAATTTGATAGTCGAAGACAGGTTGGACAGACACCAAACAGACCCTGCCATACTCGTTTGATTCTTCATACTTTGTTAATCCAAGATGGAACAGACCTGAATATTGTCCAGGAATATGTCGAATTAACATATTTAAAATGTCGACGAGTCAGTGGAGTGTCTTACATTGTTTAGATGTCAATATTAAGCAAATATTTCATTCTATGGAGGGCAATACCTGTTCATCTTTCAATGATTTTTGCGGTATGTATTGCCCGCAGCCCGTAGGGCGAGGGAAATACATGATGCAAAAATCATTGAAAGTGCAACAGGTATTGCCCGAACATAGAATGAAATATTTGTTTTATTATATAATTGCTAGACATTCCCTATGATCATTTATTTTAATCAATTAATATATCATTAATCCATAAGTGAACATAATTACGTACAAGTATCATTGAATGGTACACTTTATTTTCGTCCAGTGTAGTTGTCAGAATTCCCGGGCGGGCAATACGCCGGGCAATACGTCTTTTATTATCCTAAAATTGAGGGAGCTGTGAAATACGTTATGGTATTTTTGATCACATGGTACTGACTCGACCAATCAAATCACACAATTTCTAGCAATGATATAATAATATAAGTTATTGAATGATTTGAAGTGCAATACAGGATATATTCTGTTCGAGAAATTCCGTATTGGAACGAGACGAAGTCGAGTGCCAATACAGAATATCGAGACAGAATATATCCTGTATTGCACTTCAAATCATTCAATAACGTTTTTATCGTGTTATCCTCTGTATTGCTACTGAGATTGTCTCCTCCGTACCAATATTTTCTGTATTGCGACGGAGATGATCAACGCGGACAATCTCAGTAGCAATACAGATTGGTACAGCACAAGAACTGACCAATCAGAGGGTTTCATTTTACAGATCATACGATAAAGTGTTATATATGTTCATGACATTAATTGGTAATCAGGCGCAAAAAGTATATATTTTCATCCACATCATCATGTTGTGACTTACGACTTCATTTTTACACAATGGATTGTTTAATTATTACAGTTGATTTCAAGAAAACCACAAAAATGCATAACAAAATAAAATATGTTTCAAATTAGGTCACCGCATAAACCAATGTTTTATCGTGGCCTTGTGGGCATGGAGCACTCATCAATACCACATTAGATATAGGTTTTGTCCCCATGCATATTCTCACTGAAAAAATCGGTAAAGTACATATAGTGCCCGAGATGACGATATCTGAATGTATTTATAGAAAGGCAAGTGTCGGTGTACGAAGAGTGCTAAGATAACTTATCGGCCATAATCAGGTCAGAAAGGTGAACTGTCGTCATTTCAAAACAAAATAATAAGAAACTTCCTATCAGATGAAATTTCTACAATCGATTAAATTGTGTGTATCCTACAGTCAAGGTACATGTATATCTGCCTCACAAATAAGCAAGCCGGATGGAAGGGGGGGGGGGGGGGTACTGGTTAATTTTCTGTACTTGGATGCACCAGAGATTTAAAATATCCACCAAAATCTAGATTTTTCTCTCTGAAACAACTATCCCTGTTTCAGAAACAAAATGACCAAATTAAACCTACTTTCGATAACTCACAGAAACGAATCTTAAGACTTAGAAAAGCGTCCAAAATTGTCCAAATACGATTAAAAATGTAATCATGAATTTGGGAATGTGTCTTTTATTTGTCATTTGTGCGAGTTATTGGTGGTATGGTCTGCTTCCATGCATATTATGGGCTGCTTAATTTGTCGGCCCTTTTATGTTATTTTTGAAATGAATGAAACACTTTGCAGGATTAATTTTAAAAAGTTACTATCATAGTACAGTGCTTATATTAGTTTGGACGCCAGTCGATCACCAAGTTACTTTATAAAATTATTTGGATATAAATTATTGTGACTGAAGCACCTTCCGTGTGGCATATGGTATAAAACTTAGCGATCTGGATTGGCAAATCAGATATGATTCAATAGAAACATTTACGTGCAATATGAGAAACTACGACGAATTAGTTTCCGTATGACGAATTTAATACTCGACTGTCAAGATTTATGTTATCTTTTTAAATTACATTTTTGATGAAATCGCCCTTGTCTGAATGGCGCAATGTTGATAGAATACAATATGAAAATTGCTTATATAAGATACATGAGAATCAGATGTGTGATTTACACTAAATACCATAACGCGTTGACCATGTTCTACGTCATTGACTTCTGGGGGTGGTTTCTTTTACTCTGTTCACTACAGTAATAAAGGCCTTCCTTTATAAAAAGGCTACGTTTTTAGGAGACCACATAAACCCGAAATAACTCGAATACAATCGGTTAGATCTTCAAGAGGAAACGTGTTAAGTGTTCCATGTTATGATACCATTACCGAAAACTGCATATAAATAATCGGGTCTCGCTTTATCTCTATTACAGGCGTTCAACTGAACATTTTATTCAGGAAGATAGTTTTAATTGCAAACTTCGGAACCATGATAAGTCTTTCAAATAACTCTCAAAAATGCAGGAGTCTTAGTCATTCATGAAAATGTCTCTCTCTCTTCCAAACGCTTGCAACCAGAAATCCTCTTTGGACCACGTGCTATTTAATCATAGTCTGTGTTTGTGATATGAGAATTTAGAAACATAGTGCTAATCATACTACAGGAAAACAATTCAGCTTATGTTATAGTCATGCCATATGTTACTGTCCTCAGACAGGGGATTTTTCTTAGAAAAGCATATTTACAATGCATAGGCGTAGCCAGGGGGTGTACCCCCTTCCTAACCAATAAAAATTGAACCATAGAAGAAAAGAGCTTTAAAATGCTTTTTTATTTGAAGCTTCTCCGCTCAATTTCGAAAAAAATTGCATCATTTTTTGTAGAATTCATAACAAATCTTAAAAATTCCCAATTTTTTGCCTTGCTTATGCCGATGGGCTCTACCATCTGATAGAGCCCATGCTTATGCCATGATCGCATCCCCCGACTGAAAAGCGAAAATAATTTTGGCAATCGCACCCCCCCCCCTGACTTTAAACCGTAACAATTGACGATCGCACCCCCCCCCCCCTGACTGAAAGCTGGCTACGCCCCTGCAATGTATCCGGACATTAGCTATTTATCATGTTCATAAATCATATATCCTTTGGAAAAATCATTTGATATGACACTATATTGTAATTAAAGTTAGTGAACAAAACCTACCTTGCTGTCTTGTATTTCGTTTGGCCGTATAGTCCACTTTCATAGTAGCATCAGTGGACTTATCTCGTCATTTAGGTAATCATGGCAGATTAACGTAATCAAGCGGTCCCCAAATGGTTAGTTGATCTCATATTATACAATGTTTATTTAGTATTAACCACGATAATTGATTCACGAATAAGATACAAAAATTAGCACTTAGTCCCTTGGCTTACACAAATGCAGGAATAATTCCGGAGATATAAATCTAATCCCGGGAATCTAATAGATCGACATAAAGCTATATCCTTGCAGTGTATAATAAATGTGAATTACAAATTGCCATATAGTTTTATTCTATAGAAAACTCCAATAGTGTTCAATACTATTGGTAAAATAACATATTTGTCCGCGTAAACTGTTGATTTAAACTAGTAAAATACACAACTCTTTTCAGATGTTAATTCAGCATTGGATTTGGAGAAAGTGCGACAGTGGGCTTTCAATAGATGTCCATGGTGCGACCTTGCAAATTGATAAATATGCCAGTACAAAGACAAAGTTCCGAATGTGGAAGTAGGACCAAAACACAGTATGAAACGTGATAAAATGAAGAGCAACATCATTCATGTGGAAAGTAGATCCCCAATGTGCCGATTCTGATATAAAATGAATAAACAATGCCAAGCACTCTACTCGCCACCTGCCTGAAATAATCAAAAAACAAAGGAGAGGTATCGATATGGAGAACTTAATTCAACATTTCTCTGAAACCAGTAATCCAAAAAATATGAAAAATTAGACAGCAACAATGCAATAGTCATCTTTTCACCTGTACCAATTTTATTTGATAATTATTTACCATTTTCTATAGGCCTATAATTTTTTTAGTTGATATAT